TTGGTTCAATTATTGAGAGCACTATTGGCCAAGAATATGACCTGACACCCCCCCTCCCCCCCAAAAGAAAAAAAACTGCCTCGCTAAGCAGGTGCTAGCCTAAGAGTGATATTCATTTATCAGCTTTCAAATTATTGTGTGTTATGTTTTTGAGAAAATGTATAACATCATTTTTACATCTTTACATTGTGAGGGTACAATGTAGAGTATGACCTCATACACTGAGGCAAACAACGTATTGTGTCATAAGATCAAAATGAGCTGGGTACCACTCAGTCACTCCGCCCACATCAGTTTTCCTTTTCCTTCTTTCTCTTCTCCCTCATTCCAATCTCGTTTTCTCACCGGCTGGGAGGCCGCCGCCCTCTCGTGGCAACCTTCTGCTGGCCGTTTGCCATCAACACAACGCCCATTTGGACACGCCTGTTGATGTTTTGAAACTCTGCCAGATACGAGACGCCCGAGTGCGGCGGCATGTGGGGGGGGGGTGGCTCCGATCCGGCGATGCGATTGGACGGGCCTCCAAGCGCAGAGGGAAAACAAACCCGCCGTCAGCTGGCCTCCATAGCAAGCACGTGACTGAGTGTCGTGTGCTACAGTATCTACAGTAGTGACGGGGGGAGGAAAAAAAAAAAAACGAGGCCGGGGAAAAAAAGGATCGGGGGGGCGTGGGAGAGGATACAGGAGGGAGTAGCGTGTGTTGTGGCCACATTATGAACACGTGCACTTTGCAGGTGCATGTTGGCTTGTCACACTAAGTTAGGCGTGTGACAGAAAAAGGAAAGGGCTGGCTGTCGCGCAGTCATGTGACGAACATAACATGGCTGAGCATTCGCATCAAAAGTCTTTATGCAAATTTGGTGTTGCAGTGAAGCGGGATGGTCAGAAAGAGCAAGCCCTTTCTGTCTACTAACTTTATAAGGACCAAAGTGCTCGGTTGGCCATCAAAAGCCAGGACACACACACACACGGACACACACGAATGCACACACATCACACAGGAAATGGCAACGCCGTCTAATTACGGGCCACATGTTGCGCGTTAGAAGCCTGGAAGTCAGAACTTCATAATCCAACTCCGCTAACTATTTGTGCACTCGCACCACAGTCGTATTCACAGGATAACTACGTGCAGATGGCAGGGGTGATTGGAAAAGGGAACGCCTCCGCCACACTCTTGCACGGCCACATCCAGGAGTGACGAAACCAAATAGCGACAGCTGACTAAAGGGGGCTCCTTTAACTTCCATTGTCTCACACAACAAAAGGCAGGATACGGCGGGCAAAACTTCAAGACCTTCTAGAGCAGGGGTCCCCAACCTTTTTTGCCCCACGGACCGGTTTATGTCAGACAATATTTTCAGGGACCGGCAATGAAGGTGTGGCGGAAATAATACAACAAAATAATATGGTATGAGCTGCATGAAAACTGTGGTGTTTTCGAAATATAATAATAAACACAAGGAGCGTCTAATCTGGCCGCAACACTCTGATCGCTATGGTCATGTTTAATGCCTTCAAAATACGATGCAATACAAATTCAAAGTGCATGAAAATGACGACTCACCACAGCCCCGAGCTTGATTTTCTGCAACCAGACGGTCCCATCTTGGAGTAATAGGAGACAATGACACCTCAAGTGTGTGTTTTGCGTCAAGTCTACTTCGTAATTTTGTTTTAGTCGCCGTTGCTGCAGAAAAGCCCCGCCTCACACAGGTAGGATGTCGGAAATAGCAACAGTGCTACTGTGGCGATCTCAGAATATTCAGCCATAACTTTTATCCAGTTGTCTCGAACGTACTTTTAAGGCCGCTGTCATTTGATCTCCAGCAGTTTTTTTACTCATTTTGCGAGCTCTGGTGTTTTTTTTTTTAAGCGGAATCGGTCACGTGACGGGGGAAAGCGTTGCTTGACGTGCGTCAAGCGTGACACAGACGGATGTAACGGAGAATCCGGTAATTTTTCAAAATAAAACATCTTTCGTATTCCGAAATAAAACGGAATTAAGGCAAGTTCTTTCCGTGCGGCCCGGTACCAAATGCCCTGCGGACCGGTACCGGTCCGCGGACCGGCGGTTGGGGACCCCTGTTCTAGAGGCCTTGCTTGAATCAAAAGCATGTGCATGTGCATGTGCGGGCTCAAGCGTCCCGAAATAATTCTGGTGCCACATTAGCATCGAAGTGATTCATTCGACTTGACGCACGACTCGATAGAATACAGTCACAGCTACTCAATCAGACTATTTAGTGAGTTTGTGGGAGGTAATTCACAGGCGCAGCCAGGGCCTTTGTCGCCGTGACGACCGTTTAATCTATGGCAAAGACTGACAGAGGATTAACATATCATTAGCCGCTCCTCCGACCGAGCGGCGCGTGGATTTGGGTGTCGGAGGGCGACGTCGCAGCAAGAGCGGGGCGCTCTTTCGGTGTAATCCCATTTTCCATTTCAACTTCCAAACACAAGCAGGCCTCTCGCTTGTGCCCTCGATGCCACTGGCGACTCAGACACAATTAACACTTGGGGTATAATACTGGCTTTTGACAGGTAGAATCACATGAAATGAAGGATTTCTTGAAAACGTCCCGAGTCGACTTTTGGTACAGGGGTCAACTGCGTATATCATCACATAAACCTTGTGTCAACCGAGACTGGTCCTTAAATAAATAGCTGTGCTACCACAAAATGCCCAGTGGACCCGTAGATAAAAAAGCAAAGGCTTTTTAGTTAGCTATAGTCCATAAAAACCTCTGGGCCAGACATAACCAGAAATTATTCGGCGATATTCTTCGTACGCATCCATTAAAAAGGGAGTTTTGCCACAATGAGGTTCGTGTTAATCACCGCGTAAATGTGCAGTGGACTAAACTGCGAAGGCCAAACAAGCATCAGGATGACGTGCCGTCGTGTTGGATGATGTGGAGCCCCGTGACACACCCTCAATGCTACTCGACTCACAGGTAGAGAACGCCTGACCTTCTCTCGTGTCAACCCCCCCTGGGGACCACAGTGAGTGAGGGCGGCCTTACTGGGAAAAGAAGCTCTTACTGGAAAACCGAGCCCACCTATTTACTGGCAATGCAGGGGGAGGGTCACCGCCAACCTTAATTGGTTTCAGCGATGCATTGAAAACTGCAGATTAGGCCAATTGACTTCACCGATGACAATAAAACAGATCTCGGTTGCTTCCGCGCTATTGTCGAAAAAGTCAATTGAAGGGCGTATCAGCATTGTGTTCCTCTTGGCTCGGGTTTTGAAGGAATGGACAATTTCCTGTAAATTTCCATGGTAAAGTGATCGACCCCAAATTTGAAACTTTCAACGGCAATCGAAAGTGATTTTAGGGAAAAGTATCATTTTAGCACAAGTATAAATATTGTTTTGTCAGATGGCACAGCAGATCCCACTTGTTGAACACGTGCATGCCAAAATACAAACGTGATATCCGGTTTTACTCACAATTACGAAAAAACATATTTTCACAAGATGGCTGCCTACTATCTGAAGTACACAAATTATAAAATGGAAGACATATCCTCTCCCCTCATGACCCAGAACATACACCAAAATACCGTCTCTCCCATCATACGTTATTCATTCAGACCATATGGCTCGACCAAGATGGTTTTCATTGCAGCCAACTTTATCCTGATCACACGATCAAACAAATAACTTGAGCATGGGTTGTTAGTTTGGGGGTCGGTGGTGGGGGGCAGCTTCTGCCCCGAATGCCTTGTGTGGTACACATTAGGCAGACTCCGCATACATTTGTGTGTGGATGCAGCCATTTTGACAAGGAGGAACTAGGCCAAGAGTCGCTCGGCTCCCTTTGAACTTCTTGCCATACGGTCCCGAGTACGGTTCTTTGCCACGATGCTACAGTGAAGTGCCAACCGCTGAGCCGTGAGAGATCATCGAGTGTGCTGTGGGAAATTAGACGCTTTTGGTGCAATTGGCCCGAAGATCATGTGACAGGCAAAGCTAGTAATTATTCTTCAATTAACGAGCAGAAGGTGCAGAATTGACCCGTGCAGCCACTTTTTGCAACATTTTGTTTGGTGGCGCGCCATCTGATTTTTACTGTTGAAAAACGCGCCTTGGCTCAATATAGGTTGGGAAACACAGCATGACGGGGCTGCAGCTGTCAAGTACTTTTTTTTTTTTTAAATAATTGAGCATTCTGTTCTAATGATTAATCGGATAAAAACAAAACAACACGCACGTGAGGCGCAGAGAATATGTCATGATCCACTTATGGTCGCCACTCTTACTTTGTCCATTGTGCTCTCGGAGATTTTGAGGGTGTTGTAGCTTTAAAAGGCCCGGTGAGTGACATGGGCATCTGTGAATCAGTGCGCAGCCTTGGTTAGCTGTTAACAGGCCAAACCTGTTAGCCTGTCTGCATATTGAGGGACGCGCTACGGCCATCAGCAGCTCATTTATAAACCTGCTTGTTTGCTTTCTTACCGTTTGTTCAATAAATCAACTGAAAGTGCATATAACGGTAATAACAAATCAGTGATCCCCACAAAGCGTCGAAGCAGACATTTTGCTTCAACTTTTTCTTGTAATAGAATTTTTCAAGTTGCTGAATTAATTATTGCGGCAACGAGTGAGTAAGACTTAATATATTTTGTTTTATTGCCCAACTTTAAACTGTATCCAAGTTTGTTGCCTTGAAGTTTTTTTGTTTTTTTTTGAACAGTGCGGTGTTTTTTGCTCACCTCATTGTCATGGTGTTGGCAGAAGCTCATGCGGTCCTGGAAGAGGGAGAGCAGCGCAAAGTTGTTTTGCAGGGACTGGGCGAGGGACACCGACATGCCCGGTTGGCCTGGGCTGCTGTTGACTCGGCCCAGGTGGAGGTTCTCCCCGAGGCGCTCGATGAAGTGGTCCTTGGTGAGCCTCACCCGTTGATGTGCACGCACACAGTTGTCACACAGATACTCTTGGCAGTCGAGGCAGTGGGACGTGGCCAGGTTCTCCTCGTCGCATGAACTGCACTGAGGCTCTGCCATGAGATGCGGGGGGTGCAGATGGCCTCCGTGGGAGGGATGGAAGCCCGAGGAGCCCATGCCTCCTCGATTGGGGTGGTGGTGGCCATTCTTGTTCTGGATCTGCTCCTTGGTGCTCACCACCACATCCAAGAGGTTGCTGAAGAGGAAGTTGGAGGAAGGCAGGGATTCCACGCCGGCCTCCGAGATGGACACCTTCTGGTCACAGGTGGGGCAACGTAATTTGAGCGGGTCTCCCGGACAGCGCTGGCCCTCCAGGCACTGCCTGCAGAAGGCGTGGAGGCAGGGCAGGACGTGGAGCCTCCTGCTGGTCTGGCTGGAGGAGGAAGAGGTGTGGGAGGAGGAAGAGGAGGTGGACGAGCTGGAGGAAATAGGGGCCGAGGAGCCGCACAGCTCCTTGCAGAGCGGGCAAGTCTGCAGTTCCGAGTCGGGAAATGAAGCCATCTGTGGCGTCGCCTCAAACACAAGGCTCAGTTTACAATTGAGGTATACATTTGGGCACACGTCGAGCCGATGTGTCGAGCTGGTGAAAAGCTGTTGTTTGAGGTAGATTCATGAGGCATTCAAGTCACTTCACCGGGGAGAAGGGTGTTCATCTGCGCACGGATATGTCTCTAATACATAACTTAGATGCGATGCGATAATCAACGAGGTAGTTTTTAAACTGAACTATCAGATGGCAGTAAGACGTTATCAATCAATCAATCCCTGAAACGTGACAACATCAAACAACGTTTGTGGTTCTGCGTGGGAGGCAGGAGGTGTTAAACTAAGGCAAAAATAATAATAACAATAATATCTGGAGTGATCCAGTGTTCCGCGTCTAGGTGGAGGGGGCACGGCCTCTCCTCCCCCACCGGGTCGGCAACATGACCACGGAGCTCGGCGTTCTGGTGGGGAAACAAACAGCAGCTTCGTTCAGTTCAGTTCTTATGTTTTAGCCCCCAGTGGGTCACTATCGGTGGGGAGTGGATTCAGTTTGGAGTCCAACCTCGAACCCAAGGGTGGTCGACAATTCACCGAAGCGACAACCACGGAGCGGACATTACGTGGAAAAAAAAACGTTAAAAACAAACATGTAGTCTCTTATAGATAACGATCATATGGAGGGGAAAAGGGAGGGGGCGGTCTACCTCCTAGCTAGCCTTCTTTCCCCACGGTGGGCTCGTTTTCGGCGTGGAGGAATTTCACGCAGGCTTTTCCTCAGACAGCATGGGGCAAAGGGGAAGGGGAGGGGGAACACACCAGACGAATGCTCCAAGCCTCCACTCGGTCGTCCACGCTTATATTTGCTTCCTCCGGGAAAGAACCATCAACACTGGCTGAAGATACGAGCTCCCATGGGCGCGTGTTGCCCTGCCTGTGGCTCCGAGAGCAGCTCCAGTTCGACTGAGGAGGAAAAAATGGACTCACTTCCGCTGCAGGGACTGGGAGGAAGGGGAGGAGCGGACCGTGGGGGTGGGTGTGTGCGCGCACGCGCTCGTACCCGAGTCGGTGTGCGTGCGCGACCGACGTTCGCATTCTGTCCAGACGGGGGGAAAAAAACCTGTCGAATGTACATTCATGACTAAAGATCAATTTGTTTCGACACTGTTACTGCGCCGTTCAACCAGAATGAAACGCCATCGGATAAAAGCCAGCGTCATTTATTATATTTGATTTACAGTCCCCCAGGATGGAGCCTTACACTGACAGCACATCGAGCTAACATGATTGATGCTAATATTTTAGTGTTGGCCTACTGTTAGTTTGAAGTAGGGGTGCTTTTACTTGGCTGTACGTGAATCTTTAGCGTGTCAAATACTACCCACAAATCACCGTGTGGTCTGGAAATTAGACTATAAGTCGAAAAACGCCTCAATCAATCATGTACTAAAGGGAATGAACGACGCAAATTTATCAACTCACCTTTTTCCATCAGGATAATGCCAACAAACCGGACATCAAATTTGAAGATCGAATTGAAAAACGTCATCAATTGGGGAAAATACATGCCCCTCACTTAAATATCAAGAACCTATTTTGTTTACTTGTTGCTTCCCCCCCCCCCCCTTTTTACGAACTTTTACTTTACGGGGGAATTTAGTATGCAGTAGCTACGAGCTGAATGAAGTCCTGCGTTTGCAATTCCACTTGCTATCTTGTATTTTTAAATCCGTGGCCAATTTTATTTTCCGAAATTAAAACTTACAAATTAAATAAAATTATTGTCATTCGACACAGGTCCTACACTACTCAATTGTATTTATGGAGCACTTTCAAACAGCCATAGCTGCATACAAAGTCCTGTACATGGAGCAACTAACATACAGTATATAAAACAATAAATCAGTAACAAGGACGGCAGAAAGCGACAAACAGTAAAACTAAGATCAAATCTGAATCATGCTGGCCAAACAGTAAAACTAAGATCAAGTCTGAATCATGCTAAGTCAAATGCCAAAGAATACACGTGAGGGGGCTTACCGAATGTTCAGTGGGACGTCATTCCAGAGAGAGGGACCAGCAACACTACATATTGGTCAATTCATCTCTGGTCTAAATGAAGAAAACAGCAGCTTCTTAGGCCCAAAGTCCCAGAGGATGAGAGTGAGGTCATTTACGATAGCACCTCAATGATTCACGTAAGATGGATTTGTAGAAAGCTTCAGAACAGGGCAGGGGTTATGCTGATATGCCATAGTGGGAAAACATTCCACCTGATGGACTACACCAGAGAGCTTTCTTAAACAAACATTTCATCCATTTTGTCACTACTGTACGTACAATGCAATGGGACAACGGCTCTGACTTTTCTTGACGAGACATAAAAAGAAGACCCATCACTTTAAGGCAGAGGGGGGGGGGGGTACTTGCACAAATGGTTCCGTCAACACTTCTTATTCGTCACTGTTTACACAGTGGTCTTTTATCACTTCGCAGAAGCATAAGACCCTTCATAATGCTTATGTCAAATGACATCAGACATGCATTTATCTTCTCCTGACCACGTGAAGGTCTGTGTTGACTTGCCCTGGGGTAACTTCCACCCAAAAAAAAAAAGTGCTGTTGATGGCACTAAAATATGCCTAAGTCTGACAAGTCACGATTAGAAGTTAAACCGATGCCTTACATATGACAACATTGCCAGACACACTTTCTCATTTCTTTCTCAAAGACAAGTGGCTAACAGCAACTATCGGTCCAACAGCAAGAATACAATTTTGTCTTTTTCCTCTTTGTTCAGTCTATGCCTCATAACAGCTGAACTGTAAAATATGTCGAGAAGTAGGCTAATTGCACTTTAGATACGTGGCCAACCATATACACATACATTGTATATGGTTAGACATACATTTTGTACACATACAAAAACAAAACCAAACCAAAAAAACTGTTTGGCTCATTCAGAGTCTGTGATAGCATTTGATCGGGCTTGCCATGCAATTCTAAAAAGATAAACTCAGAGGAAATGTAGAAATGTAACAGACAGAACAGGAAAAGCTCCCTGCTTAAAACTTCTGACATCTGGAAAGCGGGACAAAATACAAAGTCAATCCAGAAAACTGAGTGGGAGAATTGAACTAAGCATAAGTCACACGCCTTGACGTTATTTCGCAGGTTGAACCTCCATATTGTGTGATTCTCAAATGTTCAGTAACATCGTTCTAACCCCACTTTTAGTATGAAAAATGAACACCACAAAGAACCATTGTGGAACAGAACTTTATACACGAACATTGAAAACATTTTCTAAAAGTATTATAAACAAAACTATACAAAGTACAGTAACAGTACTTACATAGCTCATACTATAAAGCAGTCACACTATTGTCAAAACCATAACGCTTACACTTACTTTATGAAATTCTTTTTTTTTTTTTAAACTTACTCTATAAACTAACTAACTCCACATCTTGTTTGCCCACGTATGATTTCTACGCAGCCATCGTAGGGCCGAGGCAACGCTAAGTGTGAAGACTTGTTCCCGTGAGGAGTTTACAGTAGTGTAGTGGACCTCCAGATTGGGCTGAGGAATGAGGGCCGCTAAGAGCAGGCGGCTACCAGCTGAGAGGTACTCTCTCTCGCTCTCTTGACTCCTGTTGGGGGGAGAGGGGATACGTCAATTGCACGTAACAGTTACAATACAGTAAATATTCCCATCTACAGAGTTCTTTCAAACGGAAATTCCCTCACCCGGACGACAAACCTATGCATTAAAATTCTAACTATGATATTACATTAACGATCGATACATAACAACGGAATTTCCACTACCCGGAACCCGGAAGCCATACGGAAGCCCGCAGTAGCGCAAACGCAAGCAAGTCCCACTCGATACTACGGAATTACTCTGTCCGCGCCGCTATTTACTCTCATTGAATCCAAAACGGCAACATGTAAGTGACTCTATTAGCTTGAGTTAGTGAACGATTTTTTATTTCGTTCACAGCTCCGAGTTTCTTGAACGCAACATGGTCTGCCATTGGCTACTACAGAGCATCATCCTGTCCTCCCATTGGCCAAAAGGCACCTCAATATCTATGTGTGTAGAAAGCTCGATCCGTGGAAGATAGAGTGGAATGCATCCGATTAGCTGCTCAGAGTAAATTGCTTGTGGCTCGACGGACAGTCGGGAAAACAGGCTTTACCTGTTATTATGCTAAAAACCTTCCGCTAACTGGAGAGAAGACGAGTTCATTCACGCCAACTATGGCCATCGATGACTTAAAAGTGTACAGCAGCTGGCTTTAAAAGTTCATTGCACGTCATAAGCTGAGCAACGCCGTCTTGGATGACGATCGAGGGGAGGTCGAGTCAGAGACAGCGAGTGAGTGGATAGAAAAGCCACCAGGGCTGTTACTCGTCTCATTTTAGAGCAAATAGTCCTAAGTTTGTCACACTGTATTTTGTTCATATACCTGTACAGTATACCACAGCTTTTGTGTTATAAACAGTGTTTGGAGCATCTATTTTTGCATTTCATTGCTTATGTTGTTACACATGCATTTTGTTCACATACTTCTATGTTCATAAAGTATATGTACCATGCTCATTTCCCACATAAGGAAATTCTGTTATAAGGAAGGATTGGACAGCGCAAATATGATTCCTTACTCGAGAATATTTACTGTACATCCACATGAGTATACGTATCTGGTGTTACCTTTTCAGGATGATGTTGAGGGTGGTGGTTGTCATCTCAGGAAGGGGGAGAATGAATGAAGCATTGACAGTGATTAACATCTCAAATGTGAGAGATAGTTCCACCTCCCCCAGTTGACTGGGAACGATCAGGGACATGAACCCAGCGGGGGCCGATACAGCTGGGTAATGGCCAGCGGTTAGAGAGTCTTGCGGGTACACAAATGGGCGGGAGTCAAGCAACGCACAGAGACAGGTGATAAAATGAAATTCAATAAAAACGGCAACTGTGTGTATTCATTAATCAATGAAAGGTGTTGGACCGTTGTCCTGCACTTACGCCTGAAGAGTTCGCGCGCACGTTGCCAATGGTTTTGTTTCCCGAGCTTGTGCAAAAGCGCACGCAGCACAGCGCCATCTACTGGTACCTTTCTGGAAAGCATTAAGTACGCCAAGTCTGAGGCCACGGGGAGCACAAGTCTGTCCACACACACTTGCAGGTGTGTATTAAACAAGGGGGTGTACTTAGAGATGTCAACCTGGTCTGAGGCGAGAGAAAGACAACCCATGCAATGTAAGACATCCCGTCCAGCCGCAAAAAAATCCGACATCGACTAAGTCTTGTCAGTAGTTGGTGCTACACGGCGGCTTAAACTGAAAGAAGTTCACAAATGTGAGTAAAACCAGGCATGTTAGCTCACCGTTGGGCTTTTGTATTCCCGGGAGATTCCGCAGGACCTCTAATGCGTCTCTGTGTGAGGCTTTCTCAGCCAGATGGGCGAGTACGCGGCTTCTTCTCTCCAGGTCAGGCTGCTTACACGGCCAAACGTTTGAACTCACAAACCATTTGCTTTCTGTCGTTACGGATAAAAGTTTGGCACAACATTGCGGTTAAAACAAATCTCGGGCATGCCCTCGGCTCCAAGTCACTACCTCGGAGAGTTCGGAGAGCTCCTTCCACGCTGCCGCCGAGGAGGAAGAGCTCTGCTGCCAAGGTGATCAGGTTGCAGCGTGAGCTGCCGTCCTCATTCACAAACAAACCTCTCTGCATCGAGTAGTTGATCTTAAACCGGGTCAGCGCCTCCATCAGCCTCCGACCCTACCACACACACACACACACACACACACACACACACACACACACACACACACACACACACACACACACACAGGTAGTTGTTAGCACCCCTACCGGATGTGACCATATTTCAGATGATTTCATTTGCTCTTCAATGAGATACTCTTGCAGAGGGTACGATTAACCCGTGTTGTTTTTGTGACATTTGTTTGGCAGTGCACCAGCAGACTGTAAAATTTGCGCCTTGTGTCAAGAAAGTTTGGGAAACACTCTAATAAGGAGTAGCTATATTTGATATATCCTCCATAACATCGAATTCCAAATGTTTGTTCAGAGGGGTCCACTTACCTTGGCCCACTGTTGAGTTTTATGGTATCTTTGCATGAGAGAGACTCCAATTCTGCCAATGAAACCCATCAACGGGGAGTTTGGATCTTCAGTGGGACAAACTTCAGAGCAGGACAGACAGTGCATAGTTTGTAGTCGTGCACAATGAGTTAAAAAAATAGTTTTTAGACACCAGGCAGCTTATTTATTTATTTCTAAATCAAAGTCGCTTACTTGTCTCAGCAAACGCCACAAACGGCACAGACAACTTGTCTCTGGTCTTGGACAGAAGAGCGACAGCAACGTTCCCGCTGATGCGCTCCACTTGGCTGGGATGTTGGCAGGGTGTGCAAATGGAGCGAAAGGCTTTCCCCAGGCAGCGCCAGTTCTCTTGCTCGGTACAAAGCTGGCGAACACAACAATGTCGGTAAGCTGAGGCCAGAAGAACGCAAGAAATAAACGGCGCCATCTTGTCGCTGGGTTTGAAAATGGCTAAAGTGGCTCACCTCCATCTCCACAATGACATGGGCCAAGATCAAGGAGCATGAAATGGGCACGCCGTCGGACACAGATGGTCTTTGATATCAAAAGAGACAGGCAGTGAACTACTACTACGGCATGTACAAAATCAGGTCAGCCAGACGGATGCAGAACAATATAACCACAGTACAGTGTTCCTGCTATTATTGGCAAGGGAAATAGGGAAAATCTCGGAGTAATTGTCACCCCCGTAACCCCGAAAAAAAAGTTTTTATCGTTGCCTCGAGATGCCACAAAATGGCAACAAAAACTACTTTCCTATTGGGCAAAGCTGTCGCCTGTCAAAATGAGGCTCCTCCCCTCACTTCAACATCGTTCCTTGGCACCAAAACAATCAAGTAAATTGCACAGGGTTGAGGACTCCTGAGCGCAGAAACAGAAATCTTTGAATAGGCGAATTTACGAAATGAATGAATATGCAGGGGGCGGGGGCACTGTCCAACGAGCATTCAGGACGACGTCGATGAATAAAAAAAAACACCTCACCTTCGTGTATCAGGCACGTTTGGATCAATGATCTGCTGGTATTCAGGAATGTTTTCAATACCATCGAAGCAATCCAAGCTCAGCATTAAATTCTCACTGGCCATCTGTCCGAAGGCGAAAACCTTATTACGCACACACCGGCATACGCAGACGGGATGAACTGGTCAAGGAGTTCCTTTACCTTGTATGTTAGCTGCATGAGGCGAGGCACACCGCTTGCGAAGCCTTTTTCTCTCACACAGGTGAAAAGAGCGAGCAGGAACTCATGAGTAGGCTGAAGAGAAGGCGCGAGAAACAAGTTTCTCCTGAGACTCCGTTTTTTTCTCCGGTCTTGCGCCCCAAAACATCAACATTTTCTGCCATCTGCTGGCCGACGCGACAAATGACAGCGTAGCTCGCTGGAAACGCAAACTGACCACGATTTTATGAGCCAAGGCCACACTGAGCACCGACAGAACATCAGGTACGAGGTCTGCTTTCAGGAGAGTCCAGAGGAGGGAGAGAAACACGGGCACGGAGAAAAACATTCCGGGGGGGTTGTGCTGGTAGTAGCTTGCGAACAAATCCCCTGAAAACACAGATGAAGACGAATGATGTGCAGATGAAGTGAAGGATGATTTGATTTCATTGGGATGCGCGGATGGACAGAGTGGAATACGGCTCACTGGGAGGACAGAAGATCCATTTGAAGTCGTACCTGCTTTCTGGAGGCACACTGGATTTTTGGTGAAGCGTGACACCGTGTTGACACAGAACTGCGAGGAAAAAGAGCAATCCCCATCCGGTCAAGCTTGACATTTGAAGTACGGCAGCGGGGTGGTGGCGACTATCAAATAACTCGATCGATCGTCAAGCATGTCGGCACTTAATGACAACCAGCAACACCTCGAATCCCAGTGGAAGCGACACCGTGGAAGCCAAATGCTGTTGCAGCTGTACAAATCGGCTTTGGATGCTGCTGTAATTCTAAGTAGCGGACGAGCCTCACCGTGGCAGAAATGCAGACAGCTTCTTTTTATCGATGGCTGCTCTGACAAACTCGTAAAACCTCGGGAACGGTTTTAAATTGTGAAAAAAATATGGATCGCTCTCTTCAAATCTATTTGATCGAATGTGATTCCGATGGGAATTTCAATATGTGTAATCATCAGAAGGGTGTGACAAGCGAAGATGGTCAAGAATGCGACTTCTCATGACGAGTCTTTCAGTAGTTTCATTCTTTTTTTTTTTAACAGTGGATAACGGTTCAGATTTGTAAACCGTTACTTTGACCTATGCAGTAAATTGAATTGAATACAACTTTATTGTCAAATGTGCTGTACGTGTGTGTAACATGCAGCACAGATGAAATTTCTTCCCTCTCAACACAAAACAAAGGCAAAACTTTGATCTGGCACATTAGGCCCCCCACACCCTCCAATTTATTTCCATTGGAGGGGGGTGGGGGGGTGAGTTTGTTCAAAGGTTCCACTGAACATTCAAAGGTTCTGATTGCTGCTCACGGTTTACCTTCTCGTCGCCTTTCATCGGCACGTGCAGAAAGCGGCATATGTTGTCGTTACAGGACAGCGATCCACCGAAGAACACGCTGCAGTACTGAATGTCGAACGGGGCGAAAGAAAGTTTTCACATGACTCAAACGGCTCGAATGCATTCTAGGCTCGTCCTCGAAAATTTCACCTCGAAGCCAAATATCCCAAACTTTTTTTGTGAGTGGCGCGTGTTCGTCTGCAACACTTGAACCTTTCCTTATCGACGCAATACTTACGAAATTAATTTTGGGACACCTCGGATCACACTTGTTTGCAGTGTTTGGCATGGACGGACCTGCACAACGAACCGCCAAAAACAAACAATCGAGACGGCCATTCAAAGCTACCCCGACACCGAATCCCCAAAGCTGTCACGCTGCTTGGATTCCCACTCACCCTTCCACACCGGCCCAAGTGGAGGGACGGGGTGACGCCATTCGCTCTCGGCCTCCACTTGCGCGTTCCTGTTTATGAAAGGACAAATCAATGCAAAACCAGAACCCGCGGACATGCTGAAATGTGCGAAAACACATACCTTTCCTGGATGTCTCCGCTTATATGATCTCTGCCGGCATAAGATGTGCCCTGTTCAAGCACCTAAAGTAACAATTAAAACGCCGTCATTGTCCATGTGATAACCCGAACGGAGTTTTGATCGGTTACCGTTGGTTCGGTGCCGTTTTCTTCTCCTAATAGGTTGCTTTGGCTTTTGGGAGAAGCGTCGCTCTTCTTAGGCCGCCAGGGCCTGCTCGGGTTCTCCTCTGCAAAATTCACAAGTGCGAGGCGAATAACTCAAAAAAAACCCACATCACTCATGTATTCGTTTTGTTACAATGGAATGAGATTGCCGCCGGGCTGGTAAAAACAATTTCTTGCTGCGTGGCACATCGTGATAACTTTCAGCAAAGGTCCTTAAATTGGCCATACCGTTGTCTGAACTGTCGCACGGACGATTTATATTAACTGGGGTCCAACTGAAACACAAGTAATATAATAGAGCATGTTGTCACAATAAGCCTTTGACAACTGGGAGATGGCGTCAAATATGAGGCGTAACCTTTGTTTGAAAGTCTGCGACGCTCCATATGTGGTCAAAGTCTTTGGGTTTTCGTGAGCTCTGTTGGGACCCAGTTTCAGCAGACTCTCCTGGGGTACGCCGTCAAAGAGCTCCGAGTCGTCGCGGTCCACATCCACAAGCAGGATGTCACGTTGATATGCCGTGAACTCGTCCAAAACGCCCAAATGAGCGCCACCGCCTGTCCCGGATTGGGTTGGACGGCGTTCACCGTCTGCGAGCTCAGACGGCGGCGATCCTGGTGATCCCGGGTCGCTAGGGGAAGGCGACCGGCACTCGCCGTTGAAGGATTCATCATCGTCATGATCAGAACTGCCGAGGGGAGGGCCGCATTCGGCAGCGTCCGGCGGACGGTCCGTGCTCATGGTCTGTTCCGATTCGAGTTGTTGCGCGTTACCTCGTACCCCAGTGGCCTTTTCATCCGTTTCTTCCACACGCCCGCTGTCAACGCGATCGCCGGCGTCACCGCTTGTGTCGAAAGAGGGTGACGGCTCTCTTGGAGTATGAGAAACAGGCGGGATTTCTTCTGTTTGTGCAAAGTCACTCGTGTGGGTATCCGGCTTCATGAATCCACTCACAACCAGTTGCTTGTTGTGCCAGACGATATAAGTGCGTGCGCAGGAACTCCTTCTTTTCCAAACATAGAGCCTCACTCTCTGGCAGGTTAAGGACCCTGGGTCATCATCCATTAATCCCGGCGTCTCCTCTGGCATGGCGCACATTTCGGGTCCGTCTCCCACTTCATTGCACATCCCGACCGTAAACTCTGGACGCGGCTGACTGGGACTGTTTGAAGTCCCGCATGGTGTTTGCTCATTTGAGAGGCAGTTGGGATTCTTGGTTTCCACATCTGGAGTAACTCTCGGTGTTGCACGATGCGTGAGAAACTCAGTGTTGTTGTGATATGTTTTGCCCCCGGATATCTCTGTTCCGATGGTGTCACATGATGTCCCGGGGTCGGACTCAACGCGCTGGTGCTCGTCACTTCCATCTTTCTGGTGGCCTGAACAACAGGACCTGAGCTGCAATCCAGCGGCTGTTATGTCCTCTTTAAAGCAATAAACAGTCTCGGTCTCGAGATCATGTGGTAGCACAAAGCCACAATCGTAGCACCTTGCGCCAGACATTCGGACGACGTCACAAAGGTTGACGGTGAGGTCCAGGACTTTCTTTCTTGTTTGAATGGATTTGTGCTGTTCTGAGCAAGGGGCCAATTTTTGGGGCCCCTGCCTGACCAGTGTCCTCCTCCTCCTCGGAGAAATGATTTTACAGTCACCACATAGCTCACAGGCAGAGGATCGAACAATTTTTTTCAAGGAGGCTTCTGAACCGGCAGGGGAGGTAGGGATCGGATTTATATTTTGATCTGCAAAGGAAAGAGAGCATTGTCAAGGAAATTCGCCTCGATTGGGATTGCTTATGCACAAGACCAATCTCAATATGCTTGAATTGAAACAAAGTGCATTGAAATAGGAGTGTGTGATTTAAAGGTGGTCTCTTCAGGCTAATCTCCGGAGCAAAGGTTGGCGATTTTAGAACATCACCGTGTGCCTCCTTGAAATCAACTGGGGATTTTCCTCCCGCTCAACTGCTCTTTAATTAGACATACCTGTACATAAAAAGAGTGGCCTGCACAGTGACAGTAAAGTAAAATGACAAAACCCTTGTCATTCATCTGTTTGGTATTGCTTGAGTGCATCGGTTTGACAGTAACATCTGCTTGCAGATGAAATGTATCCAAAAAGCAGTGGAGCTCTGCTCATCGCAAAGATAAGTTCAATACACATGTGGATGACAATGGTTAGCTTTGCAAATGTCCTTTTTACTTAGTCCGTAAGTCATGATGACTGCAAGTGTTAAAAAGATGTGCTCACATTTTTAGGCGGAGGCCTAAATGATCGCGGCGATGGGAATTTACATGAAAAAAACAGCGTGGGCATGCAAGTAGCGTGGAAGGGACATTCTAAAATATCCAGCACTTCAAAAAAGACCAGTAATAGTTTGTAGCCAATACACACAAGTGACAGGCGCCTTATTCACCTTCTAATAATGCCAGAAAGTCTGAAAGCACAAATTAAAGTGGTTTTAGGGAGGTCCAACCATCCATTTTCTTAAGTGCTTGTGTCCTTATTAGGGTTTCATTATTTTATATATTCCAAAGTTGATGTGCCTTCTACCATCCACTATCGGCGGTGCTAAACATACCTCCAAAAACAAAAAGGAAGCGGTTGTATCCTCTGGTGAAATGATTTTAAAATGGCAGCGCCATGCAAAGTTATACGGCGGTCAACTATTGACAGGATACATTTTCATGAATGAAATTAACGACCACCTTAAATAAAATAGGTGGCTCTTTCTTTAAACTGATGCGACGCTGCCGAGTTGTAATGCCCGCAGGCGCGAACACGTTATTGAAACAGAAAGGTATAATCGTACTTTTCCAACACGTTAACTTGTGAGATGTTACTGGCTGGAGATTTGTCAGCCTTATTTTATTTTATTTTTTATGCATGTGTGTTTCATTTATTTATCGGTCTAGGTCAAACGTTGAGTGATTAGGAAGTGCAGTCAATGTTTACATACGGGATTATGTTTCATGAAACTAAGTGACATGTAGGAAGTAGTAACGCCACAGATTTATTTGCATTATTGTTGCAAACTGCAATTTAAGTTTGTGTCTGACTGATTAACAGTCTCATATATACGAATGTTTACGCCACACCTTTGGTGGCAGGATTATGTTTTCATGGTGAAGGCTTACCACACTGAACGTCAAAGTATTTAGAAAGCTTAGACAGTACCTGTAATTGTAGTGGCGAAACTGTCTTTCCTATTACTTTGTCATTAATGCTTTAATTTCCTTTATTTTAGCGGCCTCTAATGCATAATCCAGCCTATATTGTTTGTTGTGATAAAAATTGTGTGTTGAACAATGCATTAGAAAAGGACCTTGATCGCAAATTAATTGCCAATTGCAATTTTGAGGGGGGGAATACAATGAGATTTTCCGTAATTGTTCAGCCCCAATGTTTACGAACAAATATCTGCAGAATACAGAATCAAACAAGTGTATAAAACTAAGTCATTACTGAAAAGGGGTTGTTGTTGTCGTTTTACACGGTTTGAAATACTTGAATAGATTTTCAAATCAAGAACATTAACATTTAGGTGGGGGTCCAAATTCCATCCTGTCCCCATGGTCCAATTAACGCCTGACCAAGCAGTCAAAACAATCAAGCATGGTTAAAACGTTTAGCATGATAGCTTGTAGCATCCCCCTCAACTCGTGCAATTATGTAGAAAACGCGCGCCGAAGAGTAAAGTTCTCCATTTGTCATGTCACGCCCCAGAAATGATTCCATTAAACTAATGCAAACAACAAAGTTGAAAAGCATCTTTTTTTTTTTCGACGACCTTGGTTGTCGCGATGCTGCATCACGAATCCTCTCCAGCTCGGGCCACGCCATTCGGGCCTCGCTTTATAAGCTTCAAGAGGTTAGCGAGTTTGAATTCCTGGCTAAAAAAAAAAAAAAGTTTCAGCGGTGGCCTACATTTGACGTTCTCATGGTTGGCGCCCACGCTAACACGAGCCCCGAGGAGACAAAAGATTTCTGGGGGTGTCGAAGCGGCTCCGAATATACTCGCCTAATATCCACCCACGCCGCCCGGGAAGCAACTCGGCCGACGTCCCTCGAAAAGCACCGGGCTCACCTGAGCTCCTCCCCCTGTTATGGCAAAAGCCTGGGCTACACCTGGCCGTTTCCTCCGCTTGTTGCGGCCCGCTACTCGGCTCCATTATGTGGAACGTCCTGTCACGCCCAACCTCTGACGGCTTTTTCAGTCTTCGTGGCGGCATCGGGTTGGGGCAGGTGGTATCTTTCAATTTGGTTCGATTAAGTGTTACCTTACGCGTGGACGGGAACATTATGGAAAGGCCGACGTCGACAGTCGGCGACGACACAGCGCATGCGTAATTGCTCGTCAGACGAAACGTCCTTTGGTGCCTAAAATGGTGAGACCTTCCTTCGACATGACACCAGAGGTTGCAAAAGTACAGACACCTTCATGTTTTAAGTACTGATTCTATGCCAGTACTTGAATTAAAGTTCAAAAGCAGCGGCTGAATTTATTTATTTTTTTTACAATTTTATGTTATGCCCGTATTTATGACTTGGAACAACTAATAAAACGACACACAAAATATTTTAACTTTTTTATTAACTTAAAGTGCTTCCACTGAGTGCAAACAAAATGGTGTTACGCCCTGAACTGGTTACCAGCCAGGTGCAGGGCAACAAGCATTCGCACCCACAATCACAGCCACTTAGGGACAATTCAGAGATGCTCCATCACATCAGCCTGCCATGCATGTTTTTGGAATGTGGGAGAAAACCCACTCAGCCGCAAGGAGAACATGCAAACTTCACACAGGAAGGCCAGAGCCGGAATCAAGCCCTGCACCACCGCGAGGCCGATATTTGGCACACGGGAGATTAGTACGGCACGTTCGCTAACAACTTGTCCAGTTGTATATAGTTTGTTCATAATGGCTGATGTGTGTTGTTTATTTCATCATTTTCTGGCATTTGTAGTCGTTCGCCTTGCATGACAATCGCCCTGGAAAATCAACGGATGGGTACCTGAATCGCAATTGATGAGTTGTGAGCTTCCTCTGATAAAAATCCAGAATTTGTCCGTCTTTTCTACGCGGGCGGTCCATCGATCATCTGACTGGTATTTAAGCGCAGCGAGGTCAAATGTGTGCGCGTAGTGAAGGAGAGACCCTGGTGTTGGGAAGTAGCCGTTCCCTGGAATGCGGCGGCCTGATTCACAACACCAGCTGTCCCGCCCCACCGAGCCAGCAGATGGTGCTCAAATGGTGGAGAAATACTCTTTCCATTAGGGAGAAGAGGGAGGAGCGGTTCCATCTCGCCGCTTCTCCTTTGGGGGGCCCGCGGTGTACTCTTCCCGCTCTCCCCTGGTTTCCACTTCTCGAATGACAGCTGTGAGAAGAGAACATGCAAATGAGAAGATGAGGCGTAAAAACACTCCTCGAGGGAACTTTCTTTTGAGTTGGGTTTTTTTTTTTTTTTTTGTCATGAATTGGGAGCCTTGGCTAAACTTCTCTGCACCTGACAGGCCACTTGCAAACCTCTCTGCACTTGCAAACATCCTCTATGCAAATTTTATAATCACACCACTGAGAGGTGTGTGTGCAAATGTGAGCGATATAAGCTTTTACTTAGCATATGAAATGAGCTGGGATTAAAATGGGATAAAGGGGGGGGGGCGGTGGGGGGTGTTACAAGAGGTCACCGTTCATTTTGATTCTGTGAAGCACTTTCATCTCTGCCGCCCGCTCTCACAGGCATCGGTCCTGCTTACACTTTGCCTCCACTTACATATTCATTTCAATGTTGAATGGCGGTGATGGTAAACGGGAGGAATAAAAGGCAAGAATTAGCTGCTCGTCCACAGCACCGCTCAAATGTGATGCTTGGCATTTACCTGATGGGCATGTCCACATCACACCAGGGTGCTGTTTGTATTCTTGCACCCATCAATAGGTTGAAGGGGGTTAATGAACGTGTGCGATGCTCCAAGGCGCGCCATATTTACGATCAACAAATTGATCCAAGCATGTTGGATGCCGATCGTATTAGCGTTACGTTCCCATCATGCGTACAAGTGTCTTGCTTTGTTGTCCTTTTTTGAAACGGCATCGCTTCTTCTCTATATTTTACAAGATAGGTCAAAAGGCACAATTATAAACATGTGATGGGATATTATGACAAAAGAGAAATATCAAGACCAATGAGATCATGCCTTAACGTGGGCAGAAGATACAATTAAAGAATAGTCCAAAATAAAAAGAATTTCAGATGTTGAAATAGAGCCTCCTTCTGATTTTTGAAGGTGTCACCATGCTGTTTGAGCCGGTCTTTGACGCTTTCAATTTTGTACGCAAGCAACCTTATAGTGCGCGCCTGTGTGCGTCCTTAAAACACTGACGGCACGTTCACGTGTTGATTAAAGGCCCTGTTAAATAAATCTGATTAATTTAATTGGCACTACAGGGGAAAGAGATTTTGCTCGGAGGATTAAATAGGAACTATGCACCCAAAAAGTAAAAATAAAAAAATCCTGATTGCTCTTGGTAGGAGGGCTGAATAAAACCCGGGCAATTGTATGATGTGATTCTAGAACTCGTGCTACGTGAAAGGAAAAGCAGCTATTGATTTTTAACAGATATTTGAGCGGATTTCTTTGTCCTACACCGGGCCGTACGTATGCGTGTGCGAAGCCGACAGCAAGGCGAGCGGCGGCTGAATTCCTTTAAATATCCCTGCCCGCCCGCCTCATCATATGGTTGCTATGGCAGCCAGGCCTCTGCTTTCCAGATAGCGTCCACATGCTGCGAGACACCTCCTCTACCTGAATGCTATGGATCCCATCGGGGTGGAAACGTGCAGACGACACGTACAAACGCGCTCCTCTCCGAGAAGTAAAGACGGAGAACGATACCGCGGTAAATTTGATGTTCGGAGGGGACAGATCAAATACGGTGCAGATGGGGAAACAGTTGGTCGAGGAAATGGCTGATCGAGGGACAAAACCAGGGGTGAAAAAGTGGGTTTTTTTTGTGATCGGTGGCAATTTCCACAGAACAAAGACAAATGAAAGGTAGATGGAGACACACTCCCGGAGGTGAGAAGAACAGGTGGCGTGTTTTCAAAAGGCACCGATTTCTTTTCTTCAAAACTCCTTTCTTCTTCCCCATCCCGTTCTGCCGTTTCTGCCATTCCCAACCCCCCCATCCTTTCCTTTGTCTGCCTTCCTGCCGCTGGTCTCGTCCTCCCTTGCTTCCATTTTTTCACTCAAGCTCATTTAGGCGTACGTATCGCAGAGGGTCCGCCGGCCACGTTAACGGTGGCACCTTGTTGGACGTTATTTTTGCGTGTGCGCGCGCGTGTGCGTATACATGCGTCGACACACGAGTCAAGTGAGAAAAATTTCCTTCCGCCGGAATGTGTTCACGACGGTATTATGTATGAATCTTGGTGAAATGAACAATATATGCACACTTGAGACCGTTGCATCAATGGACGACATTCTCACAAATGATACACGAGATATTCGCGGCATCCGATCAATTCCTGTTAATAATGCGAGTCCAAAAGGACTATTCGGGTTTCCCTCTCCGTAGCAAAACCATTTTTCCTGTGCGCTACGCTATTGAAAATGTTTCATTTGAGCCTTTGAATGAAATTTCAAGCGGCGCTTTAGGAGATTCTTAGGTTTAGTCCTAAACTGATTTGTGGTGTTTCAAACAGGAGTGGGGAATTTGAAGATCGGGAACACACTGGTTGGATTCAGATTGTTTTCCTACATTTAAATCAACTGGGTTCCCCACCTCTATTTGAAATACACGTTTGTGGAACTTACCTTGGTCAATCTATAAGAGAAATCTTTACAAGATGACTTTGGACATCCATCGTTGCCTTTTTAGCGTGCGTGGCGTGGCCTGAAAGGGAGACAAGTGAGCAAAGAGCACGAAGATTGGGAACACACTGGTTGGACTCAGATTGTTTTCCTACATTTAAATCTATTTGAAATACACGTTTGCGGAACTTACCTTGGTCAATCGATAAGAGAAATCTTTACAAGATGACTTTTGACAGTTGCCTTTTTAGCGTGGCCTGAAAGGGAGACAAGTGAGCAAAGAGCAGTCGGTGAAGAAGTCTGTAAGCAGCCGTGTACGTTACGTTGGCAGAAAAAGCGAGCCTACATGAGAGCCAAGTGGGAAAGAAAGTCGATAACGACGGCACCCTCAATTTCCTCTTAAAGCACAAAGGAGGCCTGATTGCATTTGAGAGATATGGGTGCGCCTCAGCCTCTCCTAATGCATCTGTAAATTGAGTTGGAAAATGACGACGTCTGTTGTCTGCGCTCGGGATGGAAGCCAGGAGGGTAGGCGAGCATCTTCCCCACCCTGTCAGCTGCAGACCTCCGCACACCCTCTCGAGACACATTTTCTCCCAAACATCTCGGAGTGGAGAGAAATTACAGTCGTACACAAAATCCGGATTATGACCCGTTTTTATTTATTTATTTATTTTTCGCGCTCGCTTCAAATGTAGCAAAACCGCCGCAAGGTTGCTTAGTGTCATCGAGCACATAAATAGCAGTGTCCGCCTTTTAGGTACTTTTTATGAAGGATCCGTGGCAGTCGGCTGTGATAAGCGTGCATTCATTTCCTCATTAACTCGGGGCTAAATGGCAGGTACACAAAGACGCGCGCATTCACATGAACACATGGGTTCGTGTCCTTAAAATGCCTGGACTAAAAGTGAGAATATCAATAAAATCAAAATGACGCCGCTCTCCTTTTAGTGTTATTTTTAACTCGCTGGACAAAAAAAAAAAAAAGCCCTCTTTTGAAAGGAAGCAAACACTCAGGAAGAGTGGAAGTCATTTTACAAAAGCATTTTCGACTTGAAATTGCAATTCAGGATTTTTCCTCCCCTGTAAAAATTTCAACCATTTAACTCGACTGCTCATGAAACGCCGCAAATAGGAACAAAAAGTGCGGAAGTAATGCACAGCCAATTCCAATATGTCTCCCGTCCTTCACTGGCATCTGATGTACACTCGCTGCGATTGAACACATTTTTAGGCTGACAGATGCATTAGAGGCAAGGGCAGAGATTTGAACGCGCGAGCCTGTTGGTGGTCCGTGCACGCGCACACGCCCACACGGTACAGATAAGACCGACAGTCATTTAGTTGGAGCTTTGTCC